TCAAATGTCACCATGTAACAATTCATTATTGTTTGGGAAAAGATTTGCAGTATCACCCTCTATCCTCTGTGCAATAGAATCTTCTCTAAAGACAGGATTTTTTTCAACTGAGTAGGCCTGCATGTTTGTTCTCATCATTGCACAGACATTACCTGCACAAAACTGCAGCTTTGGATGAATTAACTACTGCCACAAACTTCAACAGGCTACTGTTTGTCTGTTGCAACTTGCATGCAGTTGAGGACATAAGGAAAAAAATTATATGTCAGTGTTTTTTCTTTTCTTTTCTCTTTTCTCATATTTGAACATTTTGGTTGAATAGCTGCTCTTTTATGTAGGCCCACGTGCACTGTTATGTCACCAGTCTGTCAGTCTTTGGCTTTTGTAAAACTAATTTGCTGCATTGTTACAGCGGATGTCTCGCCTCCTCGTGAATTAACAAAAGCTTTGAGAGGGTATCCCAGCATCGCCCGGCTGTCTCCTGGGGAAACGTCCGGGGTAAACAAGAGCCAATCTCCGCACAACCGGGCGGCAGCGGCAGCAGCAGCAGCTCTCGTGTTGTGATTGCTGGAACTGGCGCGCCACACGTCCCTCCACCTCAGAGCAAGACAGGGAGGTTTGCTAAAAAGAAAATCTCTTACATTAAGACAACAGTTTAACTAAATAGGTTAAAATGGACTTTACAGTGGCTTAAATATATATATTTGTGTTTGACTGACGAGCTCAAGGACTGAGTGATGGATAGGAAAGGAAACATGCTGCGCGCCACTTCAGCTGGGTACCGTTTACCGGACCGACCCAATGGTCCTCTCGCCTCTCAGTCCTCGGTCTCAGTGTTCAGGCATTCAGCGGGCAGGACACGAAACACCGGTGAGACACCGGTGCAAGACGATGATACCCGAGATCTGGTAAAACAGGACCAGGTTTGGAGAGAGTTTGTGCGCGCGGAGCGAACCGGTGTGAAAGAATGGTAAGAAAGATAATTGCATTCACTTTCTTAGAAATGTCATGGAGTTGCCGGTTTGTTTTCTCACTTTCTCTGGAGTTACGTTACTAATCTTTTCTTTTACCTCTTAAATGTGGCATTGTTTGACCCGTTATTTGATACGGGATGGATTGTGGTTGACCAGGCACCCCCTGGACGGTGTGCGTTACGGTTACTCATCTCTTGTTCTTTACCAACTACTTTATATATACAGCCGTGGTTACTGTACACACAACCTCCATCGTATAATAAAACGATCACAATTTCGCTTCTAAATCATTCATTGCATCGTATCGTCTGGAGATAGGAGAAGATCATGCTGTAAAATGCTTCATTATTGTTTTATCACAGGGAGAAGAACTGGAGTTTCCTGATGAACTTTGACCAGCTGGTAAGAAACCCACTTATCAGTGATGACCCAGAACTGGTACTCATGAGTTTTATTGCAATATTGTTCAAATGTAAATTTAATTAACATATATTGCAAATATAAATTACTATAGTTTGGGATCGGTAAGATTTTCCTAAAACAATGGAATATTTTTTTAATATTCTGAGAAAGGATGCATTAAATTGATCAAAAGTAACAGTAAATACATTTATGGTTACAAAAGATTTACAATTCAGATAAATTATGTTCTTTTGAACTGTTAATTCATCAAATAATCCTGAAAAATTGTATCACAGTTTCTGGAATGATTTTGAAGGATCATGTGACACTGAAGACTACAGTAATGACTGCTTAAAATTCAGCTTTGCCATCACAGGAATACATTATATTTTAAATTATATTTAAACAGTTGTAATAATCTAATTAAAATCTAATTGTAATAATATTTCAGAATACTACAGTTTTTACTGTGTTCTTAATGAAATTCATGCAATTTGGGTGAGCATAAGAGACTTCTTTCATCCCAAACTTTTGAATAGTGTATATTTGATCATTTTCAATGAAATTATATTACAATTATTTGCAGCTATTGTTTGAAATAGTTGTTGCTCTTTCTAATAAATTATTTCATGCACTCATTCATTTTTGTTAGTTAAGTAGTTGTAAAATATCATTAAAATGAGGTGGAAATAATATCAGTTTGCATGCATGGGATTGGTCAGACTTCATGTTCACATGATGTTATTTCTACTACTAATAACAATAATGATAATGATTTATATGTGACCTTGGACCACAAAACCATTCATAAGTGTCAATTTTTCTGAAATTGAGATTTATACAATAAGATTTATACAATAAGCTTTCCATTGATGTATGGTTTGTTAGTATAGGACAATCTGAGGGTGCAAAAAAAATTCAAAATTTTGAGAAAATCGCCTTTAAATGTGTCCAAATGAAGTTCTTAGCAATGCATATTACTAATCAAAAATTAAGTTTTGATATATTTATGGTAAGAAATGTACAGAATATCTTGATGGAACATGATCTTTACTTAATATCCTAGTGATTTTTGGCATAAAAGAAAAATCGAAAATTTTGCCCCATACAATGTATTGTTTGCTATTGCTACAAATACACCTGTGCTACTTATGACTGGTTTTGTGGTCTAGGGTCACATATTTATCGTTCCCTCAATCCATGCTCAAGGTGCTTTACGAAGCATTTATTATTATTAATATTATTTTATTAAAGCTATCATTCATCTTTATTTTTAGGTGAATATTTTCATGGTCAGTTGTCATGATGGATGCATTATTAAGCCTGTATGTCAATTTAGTTGTATTTCCCTTGTCACTCTCACAGGGCCACCCGCGTACAGAAACTCCTCTCCCCAGCTCTGTGTCTTTATACTCAGACAGAGTCCCAAACACCAGGAACCAAATGTTCGGCAGCGGCCTGTACACTGAGCTGGGCAAAGAGCTGATTCGCCTGGACAATCTGCTAACCCTGACAGCGAACCACCGCAAGACCAAAAGGAATCCAGAGATGCAACCCTGCTGAGGTTTACCAGGCAAAGGATCTGTTCAAAACACTGTATTAGCAGAGATTTGTTGCCTTCTCTAGAGACCTTCCCTTGGGTCGTTTGGTTTGTCTTGCCTTTACCTGTATAACAAACTCAAGGGTGTTCAGTGGGTGACCGTTTGTTTTGTAAATGTATTTTTTTCTCTGGACAGCCTAAATACCAGTGGCCAAACTGTGTACTGTATGTATGTGTGTGTGTGTTTGTTGTTTGTTTTGACAGTGTGTTGAGAGCTTATGTTTTTATATTAGATTTTGTGTTGACATTAATATGCATCTCTCAGAGTACTGTAATATGTTGATAAAGTAAAGATGCAGTAAAGATGACCCTGATTTTAGAATTTACTATTTGCATATTAATTTTTTAGATGAACGCTGTTACTCCTCAGTGTATAAATGCTAATTAGTTACAGAACTGGATTAAAACTCCTAGCTCAGAGAGATTTATTTTTCTGTACTTGAAAGGGTTAAAAAATTTTGCATCTCAAGAGAAAAGAGGAATTAGATGTGTCCGGTAATTCTTCACAGTTCAGTTTACAAATAGTCCTAGCCAATTTAGACATTTTATCCACGGAACATTAGAGGATTAGAACTGGAATATTTTGCCAAGACCTTCTACATTTGTAATGTTTAAAAATATACATCTTGCCAAATTATATTCCAATAAAGTTTTTCTCCTTTTAAACGGCTACACTGTGTGCCTTTATTTTTGGCCACAGATGTGATGACAGTCAAAAGAGATTTCAAAATACATTCTCATATATATATATATTTTTTTATTTGTACTCTTTGAGAGAAAGAGGGATGAAATGCTTTTGACAGGCCAGATCACTGCAGCTCCAAATGGCTTGAACTTTTTATTTTCCTAGTAATTTTATGTGTAATAATTAGGATTGATTTGAAACTAGAGGAAGGGTAGGAATGCATAAAATGGAGAGTCGGTTTAATCTTGCTTGTGATACCAAATATATTTCAGGTAATATTACTACAGCCAGGTTGTTTCTCGTGTGTCCCATTAGAGCTAAAACTCGCCCTCTAGTGGACGAAATTGCCTTCTTAACCATATCAACAAGTGAACATTTACTTCATAATGGAGTTGCACCGACAAGAGGTCGCTGTTCCACTCATTCATTAAGAGGTTTTGTTGCTTTAGTGTTCCTCGCGCTACTTCAAAATTGGTTTGAGAATAAATTCATAAAGGACTCTGAATTTTATGAATAAACCAATAGGCCATTTATGAGGACCAACTTTCATTTCATTTAATTTGAAAACTTCATATACATGCAATTCTGTATTTGATTCTCCTTATAAATAAACAAATAAAAAGGCAATTTACAATGTACACCACTCTGCAGCAACATCCTCTGTTCAGTCACCTCTCATTTCACACTCAGTTCAGTCAACTCACGTTCATTAAAGCACAACCTTTACTCCTGAACACTGTGTTTAGAAATGATGTGGAGTAACGTTAAACTAATCTAACTAAAAGCCGAGTGATGTCCTGTGATTCTTCTGTGATATGTGGTGGGTGTGAGAATGCTATCCACTGGAGGATATTTACATTATCCTGTGTGCCGGTGTTCGTGGGCGAGACAGAGAGAAGAGAGGCTTTATGAGTAAAGACTGCTGTTGTCGTCGACGTTAGCGATGGATTCATTTCAGCGAATCGGTTCTTTTGGCCAACTCCTTTCAAAGAATCGCTTACATAAACGATCCAACAATTCTTTTACGTCATGACGCACTCGCGTCATCACGTGGTTCTTGATATCCTAGTATGTATGGCATATTGCCTACTGCAAAACCTTCATATAAGCCACATTCAGGCACGTTTATTGCAATTTCATGTGCTTTCATTGAATTAAAATTTAGTAATTAGAATTTAAATCAATATTAGTTGCTAACTCGAGAACCGCTCAGGCGAATCGTTTGGACCATTTTTATGAGTCGGATCAACTGATTCATTTAAAAAGGTCCGAGTCAAAAGAACGATTCGATCACGGATCGGACATCGCTAGTTGATGTCAGAGAAACGAACTCGAGGCTCGAGCCACCGGCTGGAATACCGAAGAACCGATCCGCGGAACTGGCGCGAGCGACCTAATCCACTAACGACGTGCGAGACACTTTAGGAAAGCGCTTGCGAGTAACTTAAAATAATTAACTTGATCAGATATTATTAATAAAACGCACCGGTTCCGTTTCACGTCGCAGTTAGTGTGTTGTTGCAGGAATGCGTTGGAGTTTGTGGTCTGGTCGACTCCAACAGATGCTCGCCTGTGAACAACAGCAACGTTGTTTATGAACTGGGGAAGATTTGAAGTCAGGCTCAGCCAGAGGCGGGGAGGAGAGAAGAGGAGAGGAGAGGAGAGGAGAGGAGAGGGGCGCCCAGAAAACGCCCTGCTGCTCAATCCTCTCAAAATTAAAAGTTTATCGCGCCATTGACGGTACGCTCGCATTAAAGGATGGGAAGTTTGAGTATGCTCAGTTGTTTAAAGTAACCACTTCATAGATTGTTTTGAGGGGGAAAGTTAGGAAAACCTCTATTGTTCCCATTGGATTATTTTTTTCCGCTTTATTCTGGACAAGCCCGGGGCACTTTTTGGAGGGCGGGGAGTCGGAGGCTGTCTAGGCCCGCTGCTCGACAACTTGAAAGAAGATCTTGTATCTTTAATGTGAACCAGAAAAGTTGGGCATATCGCTCTTCGTTGCTCAGACTGGCGCCAGGACAAGGCAAAAATGTCGCTAGGAGCGGAGAGAAGGATGGAAAACCGGCTGAGACAACTGGAAGCCATGCTCAAAGAGCCGCGGTCTGCGATCAACTTGGAAAGTTTGCTGGTAAGTTCACCGTCCTTTTTCATGAATGTTTAATGCGCCTTGAAGATCCGTTGCCTAGTGACACTGAGGGACAAAAAAAGAAAAATAGCAACAACCTAACCGCGATGTTGCATTGCAGAAACATCAACTGTGAGGAAGCTCAGTGTGCACGTTGATGTCTCTTTTAATATCCTCGGCATTTGTACATAAACATCGCGCCACTTCCTACTTTCCTTGTCAATAACTTGTGGCTAACCTCAAGTCCCAATCTCCGCGTATAAAAGTATTCTCTCATACACTTGCCATATTTGAATAACTCTGCTCCGTCAAGTTCTGAGTTCAACTGTTGCCTCGCTCCAAATATAGTAATATTGTTGGCCTACAACATGACAATTTCGTAATTCCCCCTTCCTGCTGTTGATGGCTTGTTTGGGTCTGGAAGTAGACTGTGCTATTAGCTGGCCTGCAGGTGAAGGTATTGGATACATATCTCTGAGAGCAGAAATCTTCACAGATTATTCTAATCTTTTCGAAGTGCACTTCGTAGAATTGATTTATTTATTTATTTGTGAACTGATAGATGAACGTTCAGTGCCCTTATGTGTTTGTGGGCACATGTGCTGCTCAGTTGGTGCCAAGTGATAATATCTCAAGAGCTTGTCAATCAGTTTATGTCTGACCTAGCTATTAAAAATACATAAGATAGGCAGAATGCCAGAAGTTAGATAAATCTGAGAAAACCTGCTTTTGGGGACACCATCAAACAGAAAAATGTTTTTAAATTATTTAAAAAGTTTCTTTTAGAAGAATATTATTAAACAATAATAGGGCAATATAAAATGTTCTTAATTTTTCTGGTAATCAGATGAAGCTATAAAACATTAATTTAATTTATCCTAATCAAATGAAAATGAAACCCTTTTATTTTTTGGCAAACAAAGTGCTGCACAACAGAGGTTTACTGTTAAAATTAAAAAGAAAACAGATGTGATTATTCCTTTAAAATTAAAGATTTATT